TTGAATTATAATATGGATTGCCTTTAGATTTTAGAATGTCAAAATAACCCTAAATTTTTATCACTGATATCAGGTAATTGGGTTTTGGATGTATGTAGAGACTTTTAGGATCCTGATTTCTGCATCTTAGATGCTTACATATAGTGATGTTTAATTTTAGTGCTCAAAAGAGAGAACAAAATAACAGAAAAACAATAAAACACACAAAAAATAATTCTAGTGCTCAAATATTCTTGTTTCATATGTAATTTGAATTTAACTTGTTTTGTGAGTTAATTATACAATTTATGTGTGGACAAAATGGTTCTGTGTGTGTTTGTCTGCTATATAATGTTGTTCTTTTGGATTATTATATCAATGATATTTAAAAAAATTCGGATAATTCAGATGAGCATTGGAATCTATTTGATTACTAGCTTAGAGTCCCAAATAAGCAAAATATTATCTTCTAAAAAAAGGATTCCATGTTTCTCACTAGTAGACCCATATTACAAAAAAAAGTATAATATTGCCTGACTTGGTCAATATTATTTGCCATGATATTTAGTAATGTAGAGCTAAATCAGAGATACAACTCTCTTATAGCTCTCCTGTTTTGTGATGAGAAAATCTTAACTAGAAATATTCCCAAATTGAGGCGTATAAATAATGCAGAGGATTCCATCTTCTTACTACTGGGTTGCCCTTATGTATAATCTATCTATCTATTTATGTATTTATTTTAAATTTTTTTTAAACATTTTTTTTATATATTTTATTGATTTTTTACAGAGAGGATGGGAGAGAGATAGAGAGTTAGAAACATCAATGAGAGAGAAACATCGATCAGCTGCCTCCTGCACATCCCCCACTGGGGAAGTGCCTGCAACCCAGGTACATGCCCCCGACCGGAATCGAACCTGGGACCTTTCAGTCCACAGGCCGACGCTCTACCCGCTGAGCCAAACCGGCTTTGGCGATTTTATTTTAAATCTTTATTGTTAAAAGTATTACATATGCCTCCCTTTCCCCCCATTGACCACTTCTAGCTCACTCCTGTCCCCACTTCCACCCCCCCCCCCAGACCTTCACCACCCTATTGTCTGTATCCATGGGTTATTTGTATATGCATACAAGTTCTTTGGTTGATCTCTTCCCATCCACCCACCCACCCCCGCCTTCTCTCTGAGATTTCTTGTTTTTAATGATCTATGAAAAACCACCCAACTTGTTTGATAATACCAACAGTTATATCATTTTGTATTTTATGGGTAGGTGACCTGTTATCTTCTGTAATGTTATTCAAAGGATTAAACTTGCTCTAGTCTACTGACAGTCAATGTATGTAGCAACTCTTCTCTGCTCATTAATGTCCCCTAACGTGTCTTCAAGGTCATGGAGCAGACACCTAAGTAAGCATTTAGGTGGGATTCTGTCTTCCTGCCTTGATACTGATTGTTAGCACCACCTCATATCGGAAGTATTCTTAAAATGAAAGAGGGAAACTCCTTTTCATTGACAGATCAGGAAGTGGTCTTGATTATAAGTGTTTTGGAAAAAGGTTTTAGATAACATGCTTTAGTTTCACTGTGATGGGACATAAATTACTCAATAAGCCTAAAATGTTTTTCTCTCTGTATTTGATTCTGGCTTGTGTTAAATGCATTTGATATTATGATATTAAATTTGTCTGTTACTGTGTTTCTTTTCTCTTGCTCTGCTATTTACACTTGGTCCTGCTATTTCCTTTTCTCTGGCTTTCTATAAGTCAGTTTAGGTGAAAGTTTTCATAGGCCAAGTACAGAGTTAAAACAGTTGTGGAATGACTGTTTATTCATAATTCTAGGATTCCTGGGAGTTACATTTATCAGCTCTCAAGAGATTCTTTAATTATAATGTTAACATGTTACTTTTGAAAGAAATTGAAATGGACAGACATGTGGTTGAATTGGGGTTTATCCTTGTATTTTTGTCTAGCGATAGTCTAGCAATGGAGTATCTTGTCTTGATACAGCAGACTAAAATTTCTTTTTTAAAGGTTCGAGGTTCTTTTAAAGACTTGTACTTTGATGAATACGAATAGCATTGGTTTGTGGAGCATTTTTGGGATATTAGTCAAGATTCTAATGTGAACTTGGGCTTACTTGAAGATCTAATATATGAGAAAGTTGGCTTCATTGATTGCTATAGGAGTTTTACTTAGCTCATATTGTTGTAATGAAGCTAATATATTCCTATATGTATAAGTACATGCATATATTTTTCCTGTTAAAATTCCACTCACATCGCCGAAACCGGTTTGGCTCAGTGGATAGAGCGTCAGCCTGCGGACTGAAGGGTCCCAGGTTCGATTCCGGTCAAGGGCATGTACCTGGGTTGCAAGCACATCCCCAGTGGGAGATGTGCAGGAGGCAGCTGATCGATGTTTCTCTCTCATCGATGTTTCTAACTCTCTATCTCTCTCCCTTCCTCTCTGTAAAAAATCAATAAAATATATTTAAAAAAAAAAAATTCCACTCACAGACATTTTATATTCTACCATACTTTTACATTGTCTGGGGCCTTTTCTCCAGCACTGTTTGACAGTTGTTTTGTATGGTAGAAAATTATTATCATTACTATTATTAATTTTTCAATTATTTCTTAATATCTCCACCTCTTTCATCTGTCCCTCTGCATTAAATACAAATAGGTAGTTACAAAATAGTCATGGGGATGTAAATGACAGCATAGGGAGTATTATAATAACTGTATGATCCCAGGTAGACACTGGAAATATTGTAGGGGACACTTTTTAAAGTATATGGTTGCCTAACTATTATGCTGTATACCTGAAACTAATACCAAATAATATTGAAAATTCTTATCAGTAAGTCATTGTAGAAAATCTTAAGTATCTGTGCCTTGTCCTCCTTTTAGGGATATGCTTAAAAATGTTTAAAACAGTATAGAATCTTACTTGGCTTTTTTTAAAGTATAAAAGTATAGAAGTAAATGGAGGCATTTTGTTCAAGTTGCCACCATTAATCTGGTATCAAGATAAAACTAGTAAATTCAATTGGCTAACTTAATTATGCAAATTAGTGACTAACTTTTCTGTGGCCAGCCTTGATCTGTGGAAAGTTTTTGTTAATAAAGTTGCTTTTGTTTTGTTTTGTTTTTTAATATAGCTGCAGTCATTGATTTACATGTTTTCATGGCTACTTTGACACAAGAAAAGCAGAGTTGAGTAGTTACAGCAGCTAATCACTGCAGTACGTTGTTTTTTCTCACTAGGGTGGTGTGCAGCATGTTACCTTGATACATTTACTTTTAATAAAACACACATATTTTCATTGATTTCAGAGAGGAAGTAGAGAGAAAGAAGAGAGAGAGAGAAACATCAATGATGAGAGAGAATCATTGATTGTCTGCCTCCTGCACACCCCCTACTGGGGATGAAGCCTGCTACCGGGGCATGTGCATTGACCTGGAATTGGACCATGACCTCCTGGTTCATAGGTTGATGCTCAACCACTGAGCCACACTGGCGGGGCAGATTTGTATATTGTATTATAATTGCCATTGTAGCCATGTTTATCACATTACATAATTATAGTTCACTGTTATTGTCTATATTCATTATACTATGCATTAGACCCCTGGCTTATATACTACTTGTTACAAGTTTTATGCCCTTAAGTACTATTAGTCTTATCTCCTCATCACCCATCCCCTGGTAACTACCATTTTACGCTCTGTTTTTTACAGGCTTGATTATTTTTTTGCAGATTTCACATATAAGTGATATAACACAGTACTTACCTTTTCTCTGATCTATCTTGCTTAGCATTCTCTGCTTACGGTTCATCCGTGTCATAAATGGCAGGATTTCCTCTTTCTCAAGGCTGACTAATATTCCATGGTGTATATACTGCATCTTTTTATAAATCCATCCACTGATGGGCATTTGGGTTGTCAGAGTATTCTGAGGCCTTTTCTCCTGAGCACCCCACCTGGATCCCTAGCTATTAAGTCAGCTTCTACCTAGTTTTCCTTCAGCTATCCTTGTCCCCACTGCAAACCTGCTTCCTTATATTTGACTCCCAGAATCATCCTTCCAAAATTGAAATCCTGAGTACGTTATTTCTTAAAACCCAGGTACCTCTTGCTCTCTCTTGCTGACTCTCATGTTGTTTCTGACATACTGTACTAGTTGCCCGTCATTTCCATTTTATGTCTAAAATGGAATATGTGATATACCTGATATATCTCTATTGGAATATCCTTCTCTCCTTTCTTTGTAAGTATATCCTATTTCAAAGAGCAATTCCATAATCTATAGCTATTTAGATAATGTTTTTTGTGTCACTTCTAACCATCCACCTTCACCAACTCCTTTTCATGTTTCACCAATTTCATATATTTCTTTTTTTTTTGTTACCACTGTGCCTTATACATAAGATAGCTATTTCACTTTTACATATTATATTTTCACAAGTTTCTTATGTGTCTTTTCCTTTTGGTAGTCCGTGAGCCCAAGGATTATTTTTTATTTACCTCTATGTTCTTAGTATTTATTAGCATGGTACCCAATGAATTTTTGTTGAGTGAATGATTGGGTTAATTTCCTCACTTACATTATATGATGTGTATTTTTATTTTAACCAGTTTATGCTTTTTAGAAGGCAAATTCATTTAGAGTAGTAAACCTGACTCATATATCTTTTCTCTTTTTTCCATATGTCTTTTCTTATAACTCTGTAGGGTGAAACTAGATATGTCCTGTTTATTGACTTGCCACTCTATGCAGCAAGGGATAGAATTTCCTACTCTAAATCTTATCAAATCCCTGATATGGAGTTTTGATCACTATTAATTATGAAACTCATCTGTAAAATAAAATATTTTATTTATAATGTGATCTTAGGTATATTTGGTAATGAGATACGTATTTCTATTCATATTTGGTGATGTGTGTGTGATGTTCTTAATGTAAGTAGTTTCAATCAGGTCTCTGTTTTCCCATATCTCATTTCTAGGTACAAGACATCTGCTTCAGCCATGACTGTCGCTGGGTTGTGGTCAGTACTCTTCGGGGGACGTCCCATGTTTTTCCAATCAACCCTTATGGTGGCCAGCCTTGTGTGAGAACACATATGTCGCCACGAGTCGTGAATCGTATGAGCCGTTTCCAGAAAAGTGCTGGGCTGGAAGAGATTGAACAAGAACTGACATCTAAGCAAGGAGGTCGCTGTAGTCCTGTTCCGGGTCTCTCAAGCAGCCCTTCCGGATCACCTCTGCACGGTAAACCTAATTTTCTCTCTCTCTCTCTCTCTCTCTCTCTCTCTCCCCCCCTTCTCCCCCCCCCTCCCCCCAGTCTTTCTCCCCCCCCCTCTCCCCCCTCTTTCTCCCCCCTTCCCCCTCCCTCTCCCTCCCTCTCCACTGAATCCTTCAGTCCTTCTTCTCTTTATCCTTAATTTTCAAGGTCTGGGACAAAAACAAATCCATTTTTTTCTAATATGTTCATGCAAAGACAAGGTCTTAGGCTCATTTTGGGACATTCTTTTTTTTTTTTTTTAAATATTTTATTGATTTTTTACAGAGAGGAAGGGAGAGGATAGAGAGTTAGAAACATTGATGAGAGAGAAACATTGATCAGCTGCCTCCTGCACACCCCAAACTGGGGATGTGCCCACAACCAAGGTACATGCCCTTGACCAGAATCGAACCTGGGACCTTTCAGTCCACAGGCCGGTGCTCTATCCACTGAGCCAAACCGGTAAGGCGGGACATTCTTAATTTATTAAGTAATTTATGTAATTGAAGCCAATATCGTAATGGCAGTCTTTATCACGTGACTTTAACTCACTAAATTTTCCAGTATGTGAGGATTTCCTTGTGTTATTTTTATGGAATATGAAGTTTGAGACTATATTCATACATTTAGAGATTGAATCTCATGTCTGTAGATCTTTTCCAGAAAACTTCATTTTTAACCAAAGCCAACAACACTATATATAGTTCATTAACTATATTCATATTCATTGTTGGAGAAGAATGGTCATGAGTCATGTGTATTTTAGAGCAGCATTTGTTTTTTATTTTAAAATCCATCTCTGTGGGATTTCTACCAGTATGTTGCAGGAAAGGAAAAAACAACAACTGTACAGCTCGATAATTTGTCTTAGAGCAAATAATTGTGTTATTATCACCCCAACCAATAAATGAAACATTACTAGAATGCCCCTTTTGTGCTCCTTTTCCATAAAAGAAAACCATGAATCTGACTTAATGGTAATCATTTTCTTACTTTTAAAAAATATTTCTCTGCTAAGGAAGTATCCTTAGATACTGTTGTTCACTTTCATATAAGTGGAATAATAGAATAGTATATTTTGTTATATTCAGCTTCTTTAGCATCATGTTCATGGAATTAATTCATGTTCTTTATAGGTTTACTTGATTACTTGATTTCTTTCTCTCTTTTTAAAATATCTTTTTATTGATTTGAGAGAGAGAAAGGGAGAGGGAGTGATAGAAACATCGGTCGGTTGCCTCATGCATGCCTTCTACTGGGGATTAAGCACACAACCCAGACATGTGTACTGACCAGGAATTGAACTACTTACTGTTGATGTATATGTGGAGAGTTTCCCGTGTGGGGTTATTACATATAATGAGGCAGTGAAAATTTTTTTATTTGGTTTCTGGTACAACTATGTTCTCATTTTTGAGTGGAAATGCTGGGCTATAATGTATGCAGACTTTGACCTTGGTTGTTAATACCAGAGTGGTTATACCCTTTCATTCCCATCAGAATGACTGAAAATATTTGATGACATTAGATGACACTTTTTCTAGAGTATTACAGATTCTCCTTGACACATGACTGATTTAAGTTTTTAAGAGTAGGGAATTTTATGTAGAGAGATAATGGTTACTACATAAAACTATTTAATTGATCTGAAATTCATATAACATACATAACCATTTAAATATTAACAATTTAGTTGTGCAAAACCATCACTTCTTCTTGGTTCCAAAACATTTTCTTTATCCCAGGTGAAAATCGAATATTCATTAAACAGTTACTCCCATTCCTCTCTTTCCCAGTCGCTAGCCACCACCAATCTGCTTTCTATCTCTTTGGATTTATCTGTTCTGGATATTGCATATAACTGGATATTGCATATTGCATACAATATGTGGATCTTTTGTTCTGGCTCTTTTCCTGTGGTTTAATATTTTTGAGGTACAACCACATTGTAATATGTATCAGTACTTCATTCCTTTTTATTGCTGAATAATATTTCATTTTATATATATATATATACTATATTTTTTATTTATTGATGGACATTTGGGTTGTTTACATCCTTTAGCTATTGTTAATGGTGCTGATACAAACATGTATGTATGAATATTAGAGTACCTCTTTTCAATTCTTTTAGTTATACTCTAACCCTAATTTGTTTTAACTTCTTCTTGAATACGTATCCTTTTGTAATACGTAAGCAATCCTAGAAATGCATTTTCTGTAGGAAGTTTCAAGAGAGCCTGAAAAACACAGGTAAATGGAACCCTGGGGAGAAATTGGGTTGTAACAAAAAAAATTGGGACTTCTGTTTTCTCTTCACATGATATTTTATGTTTTGGCTTTATTATTTTTATAGCAATAGTTATTCATGTGTAGTTAACTTAATTAGTGACTCAAGGTCAGAAATCTTTCAGAATCAGTCCTGGATGAAAACAGCCATTTAAAAAAGTATTTCAAATTTTAAAATAAGTTGAAAGCTATATGATATTTGTATTTTTTGCCATTTGTAAGGAATTTTACTTACATAATTAATTACATTTTATGGCATAAATATTTTGTCATATAATTAGGCGACAGTATCTGTTCTTTGAGGACCTTTCTCTTTGTGTTGAGTATTTTTCTTTACTTAAATTCTACTAAACATTTTATGGAAAGAGATTCAGTGTACATGTGGGGTAGGTAGATTGACCAGAGGACCAGATGTATTGTTAGAAAAATAAGGTTTACATTCCTTACATTTATACATCTCCAGAGAGTATTCTTTTGAGCTTCATTTGCCTTCCTATTCTTCCTTCCCTAGTAAGCATACCCCATACCAGGTTCCATTGTGGGTTTTGGGCATATCATGCACAAAAAATTGTCATCTCTGCCCTGTGTATCATCTAGTCCAAGGGAAAAGATAGGGATCAAATAACTGTGAACAAATTCCTAAAATTATATTTTTGCTGAAGGGTGCAAAGTGCCAATCATTTAAGGATTTGTCATTTGTAAAAGAACATGTAGTTGAAGAGCAATACTTGGATTTCTGAGTCAAAATATACTATTTTCTCTCAGCTTTATTGTGCACAGCTCTCTTCATTATTTGCCTAAAGCTACCAGAAGAGAGGAGATGATAGACTGTTTGACAGATTGCTATACTTTGCATTCTCTTTTGAAAGCAGGGAGTTTCAGAAGGCATTTTCCTCCTGATAACACCTATTAAAATTTTTATTGTGTTGGAATTTCACCCCATTACTCTGTGTAGTATTCCTTATTTTCAAAGCACCAACATTAGAGTGATGGTCATTTTTCTTCATGTTCTCTTTGTATTTCACATGTCAAAACAAAATGGGCATTGTTGTTGGTTAGTTCTAAAAAGGATGTATTTACAGTTTGTGTGGATAAACAGTCTGATGCTGGTCAAAAACAATGTAAACTTTGAACAGGGAGGGATTCATCTTGAAAATGAATCATGCTTGGTGCTATTACCGTTGTTTGTGCTCTTTTTAGCAAACTAAAGGAAACTGTTAAATAACAGTTGATATAGGGATATTTCCTTTTTACTCTCTGGAGTCAGTCCAGTGTAGGTTAGGATTATTTTATCTACTTGCCATTATTTTACATAACAGAGGACGTTTATTTATTTGAAATATACTCTCTCTAAATATGTCCTTCATTTTCTTTCTTATTTCTTTGACCTTAGTCTGTGTGAGTGTTTCTTAACTTAAGATCCATGGACATGGATATGAAAGAAATGACATTATGTTTACTATTCTCTAACCAAAAATGTTTCCTTTCATTGTGAATATAGACAACACAAGATAGTAATATTAGTAGTACTTGCGACATTGTCACCAATAAAAATGCAGATGTTTTATATCACAATATACATGAACTGGATATCTTGAAACATTTTGAGTTACTGATATTTTGAAATATTGTTTATACTTATAGCTTTGAAATTACTATATATTATGTAATTCTATTACTGATTTTAGTATTTATTACTTCTATAGCAAAATTCAGTTTTTTACTATATTGATAACTATACTTCAGTATAATTGGTTTACTTTAATTTATGTATTTTATTTAATACATACATGTGTATACATACATATGTGTGTGTATGTGTGTGTGTGTGTGTGTATACACACACACACACACACACACACACACACACTGAGTGGCCAGATTATTGACCACCTGACGTTTGTAGGCAAATTAGCTATAATTTCGCGCTGAAGTTGCTAGAGGGCCAGACCATTATAAACATTTGAATAGTATAACATACCTAAGTATTGTTGCTGATCAAGCTCATCCTATCATGTTGATGGTGTATCCCAATGGAGATGGCTTCTTCCAACAAGACAATGCGCCATGCCACGGTGCTCATATTGTGCAGGAGTGCTTTCAAGAACATGAGGGAGACTTTACCTTGCTTAGGTGGCCCCTACAATCACCAGATCTCAATTCAATTGAGCATTTGTGGGACAAAGTTAAAAGAGCCATCAGGCAGCTGGTTTCACAACCATCAAATCTCACAGAACTGGACAGTGCTATTCATCAGGCATGGTGTCAGATTCCTCGCATCACCTTTCAACATCTCGTGGAGTCAATGTCAAGAAGAGTCGTCGCAGTATTGAAGGCAAAAGGTGGCCCAACAAAGTACTGATGGGATAGTCATAATAATCTGGCCATTCAGTGTATGTATGTATGTATGTATGTATGTATGTATATGTAATTGATTTTTAGAGAGGAAGGAAAAGGGAGAGGGACAGAAACATTAATGATGAGAGAGAATGCCCCACACTGGGCATTCATTGAGCCTGCAATCCAGGCATGTGCCCTGACTAGGAATCGAACTGTGACCTGGCTCACAGGTCCATGTTCAACCACGGAAACACACTGGCTGGGACTCAATCATTTTTTCTTACCACATCTGTTTCAGTAGCCCCTACCCAGCCACTTTTACTATCATAAGACCTTTCCTTTGTTAATCATAAAGGTT